GTTGAATAGCAATTTAGCTCATGGGCACGGATGTCAGAGGGCCACATGACAAGTGTGGTATCCGAGGCAAGTTGGGCCTGGCCAAAAACACATTAATGGTATCATTTATCGTGAAATGACTTTCATTTATGAAGGAAAAGTTGGCTGAATGAAACTCATGAGATGGTATCACTGAGAAGCAGAAGAGAAATAAATCACGGAGGAATTCTTTGAGACCTGGTTTTTTTTAATTTCTTCCAAGCATCATTTCGCAAGTGAACTCGACGACTTTTGAGTCTAATGATAAACAAGACCACGGAGTGTAGACTGTTGGATTGTGCGAACGAGTCCTCGGATCACCGTCCTGCAACTTCGATGAATCTGGGATAAGCATTCGTTTTACTGTCGTAAGAGTCATTATCAGTGAATGGATCCATAAGTTACGCAATGACGGAAATAATATGCTATTTTTCGTTCATAAGTAGGGCTTCGAGACCACCAATACATCTCATTGAAATATACTAAACCCCAAAAAAATTGACCAGTTAAAATTACAGCTTTGCGATCTTAATGGGGCATTCCATGAATTGGTTGGCTAGCTCAAACTCGGCTCCACACCTATCCTCCTCGCAAACGGTCCAGCTCCTTCCGCCTCATCGGCAGAAGCACACTTTCGGTGTTCACTCCCACCGAATCGATCGATCTGGATAGAGGACAAGCCCAATTGACCAATCCGGAAGGGCCTAAAGCTTCTGTCTTCTCGCCTTGCCTTGGCCTACGCTCGCCAAAGCGCAGTGTCTGAGTGCCTAACTGTCTTTGTCAGCAGTTCGCTGTACCCTCGTGGTTGTGTGCACCTAGAGATGTGCTGACGCACGCCGGTCTCCGCGTCCACATGCCTTCGTCTCTCCACTACAGCAGGCCTGCCTGGGCATCTACTCACGTCGCCTTGGTTGCCGCCTCCTCTTCTCGTGTGCATTCGCCATCCGATTGGCCACTCGTCCACATTCAGCATCGGTGCTCTCTGCTCCGGCGACGAATCAACTGGCCACCGGAGCCGAGCTAAGCAGAGCTCGCCTTCGTCAGCATTCTCACACCTGCCCGGCCCGAGGTGAGCACAGTCGAGTTCAGTTGACCAGGCTCCTCCGACCCTTTGCCGTTTCAGTAAGTAGCACCTTTCGAGCCAGCCACTTTCCATTTTCACGCCGTCACAACTTTGCTCCCTTTTGCCATTTTTGCCCGCTGATCTGTGAGCTTTATTTATATTCTCTGTCTTTTTCTACTTCTTCTTATTATTATTAATATTATTATTATCATAATTCATATTATTATTATTATTATTTATTTTCTTCTTATACTCCTGGTTCATCTTTTCTTTCTTCCTTTGCTTTTCCTTATTATCCTTCTCTCGCTCCTTATTTTGTTTATCTCTTTTCCTTTTGTTCGTCTTCTTTCCTGCTTCTACTTCTAAAATTTCTTCGTCCTCTTCTGCGGGTCGCTCGGTTTCTTATTCCTCTTTTTCTTTTTATCTTCTTCTGCATCTTCTACTCTTTTTCCTCACTTTTCACCTTTTACTGCTTCTTTTTCTGCTTCTTCCTCCGCTTTTCCCTATTAATATTTTCTCCCTTCCTATTCTGTTTATTCCTCTCCTTCCTCATCTGCTTCCTCTTCCTCTTCTTTTCTGCTTTTACTTTGCTGCTTCATCTCCCTCTTCTGCGGGTCATTTGGTTTTTTCTTTTTCTCTTCTCCCTTTTCATGTTAGTATTAATATTATTAATATCATTATCATTCTTTTTTTCCTATTCTTCCTCTTCTCTTTTCTTTCCCTCTTTTTTTTCTGCATCTTCCATTGTTTTTTCTCACTTTTCTCCTTTACTGCTTCTTCCTCCTTATTAGTATTTTTGCCTTTTTATTCTGTTAATTCCTCTCTTTCATCTGCTTCCTCTTCCTCTTCTTTTTCTGCTTCTACTTTTTCTTATTATTCCTATTCCTCATCTGCGGCCTATTAGGTTTCTTCTGCTTCTGTTTCCCTTATTATTATTCTCCCGCTTCTTAATCTGAGTATTCTACTTCTATTTACTCTTCTTCTTTTGCTTCTGCTTTTCCTTGTTAGTATTATTTCGCCCCTTATTCTGTTTTTTATTCAACTTCTTTACCCTCTTATTTTCTGTTTCTATTGCTTTTCTTCCTTTGCTTTTATTTCTGCTTTTTATTCTGCTTCTTTTATTTTAGCCTATTCGTTGGCATAGTTCTCATAGCAATAGGCTGATAATTTTTATGCCTCAAATATCTCCATTCAAGATTCACTAATGAGCTGAGCAGAAAGGTCTGCAGTCATGAGGACCAAGATTATGTGGTCCTGGGTCTAGTTGCAGTCCGATTTAGCTGTAATGTTATTGGTTTAACCTCATTTTCGCAACTTAGTCGGGGGTGAGGAACATTTTGTGTTATTTGCCAGCTTAGTCAGACCGTTTACTTTGTACACTCCCTGGCGTGACCGACAAGTGGTAACTCCATGGTAATGTTGGCGTCTCTCATTGAGGATGACGACTGCGTTGGCGGCGAGACGTCTGGAAATGTACCAAGTTCGATGCTGGAGATTGGCATGGCTACTCTGGCAAAGGGCTCAGGACTCGGCACGTTCCGCAAGGTCGCCATCTTGCGAAGATGGTTATTGTCTCTGGGCCATCAAAGATACTATACTTGACGCCTCCCACTTCAATCGCGTTCTCTTAACTTGCATTTGTCTCTCAAGACCCTACTGGAGATGCCTCTTCTTAACGTTCGGGTAATTCCCTTTAATTAGGCGTCTCCTTTTTGCCGTTTTTGCCAGGCTTTAAGCACGACAGAAGCCCATCGAGCGATATCTAATGACATCGCTAGAGACTCGATTCGTCTCATTACGATCACTTGAAATGACACTCTCTTATCCAACCGAAAGAAACGGGGAGTGAGTACATTGGACTCATGAAGTGAGGTTGAGGGGTGAGGACACGACTCTAGGAGGTAAGACAGGGGGGGGGGTAGATGCCATACTGGTTGAACAAAAAATTGTTCAAGGATGGAACCTCTCACGGAGGATGCCGGTAAAACGTCTTGGAATCTACCAAGTCAATGGCCCGATGCTGGAACTCATGAATACTCTGGCAGAGGATGCAGGACTTGATAGGTTGCACAAAGTCTTTCTGTCGCTGCGACCAGGTTGCGAAGGCGAGGTCTAATCAAAATTGCCCCACCTCGTCTTGGTGTAGAACAAATAGCTTCCCTAGAGCCGCCGAGAGCATTTGAGGATCACTTAAGCGCACAGAGTTTTCTCGCCGTACAGCGAGCAGTCTCTGCCTCCGAGGCGCGGGCCCTGACAACACACTCTTGAGCCTGGTTTAGTTTGGCTGCCGTGGCAACGGCTGTCTACGCCTTCTAACATGTTTGCGGTCGTCATAACAACCCATCGTTAGCTAAACCATTTTGAGGAGGCCTATTGGACGGCCTATTACTGGCAGCTCCACTTGTTAGTCAGTAGCGAGACCAATGCTCATTGTGGGCATATCCAAGCAGGCAGAATATTCCCACATAAGGTGTGCAAAAATGGGTACAATTGCCAGGAGCAAAAGGGTATAAATGTTCCCTCGTATGCTGTTCACACGATGGCCCAATGCGGTAGGCTCCACATGAATCCTGACCATACAGAAGACTGCCATAATACTTTAATGCAAACTTTATTACTTAAATAAGCTAGACGTAAATTGTAGAAATACACATCAAGGCTTCTTTCTTTTTAGTCCCCTATTGTACTCAGAGAGCACACACTCCTTCATACAAACACGAATCCTTGATATAACTCAATTAGTAAAAGTGGGAGTATATTCAGTCCAGTTGCCAAGGCCCTCCTTTTTGGAGACGAGTCAGGGTTTGCCGGTCATCCCACACTTAGATGCACTCTGCACTCATTTGGCCAGTTAGTTAAAAACCATTTTTAATGCATATAAAACTTTTAGCGTCCCAAAGAGGGCGCAAACTGTCTCTAAAATATAAAATGCTTGCACTCTACAGCTCCAAAGTTGGAGGCCCCGAAACGAAGGAAGAAAATGAAAACTAGTATTACCAAGTGTCCTATTTAGAAGCAGCTGAATACGGTACGGGGGGGCTGGCGGTCATTTTGAGGCGGCGCGGAATAGAAGGTCTGCACTCCGCTGATCACAGCATAGGAGAAAAAGAGAACGACGAAAACATGACCAATCTATGCGAAAAAAAGTTGGGTTTCGAGGAATCTCTTGTTTCATAATTGTTGAGCTTACTTCCATTTCGAGTAAAAGTGCTTGATGGAAAGATTCGAAGGTCGGTTCCACCAGAAGACGACGGCGGATTCCTCTTGACCAGCTGTCGATTGGCTTTGCCTGAACATTCATGCTGACGCTGTTTCCGAGGCAATCTCCTTCGATTCCGGTGAAAAGCTGCTAAGCTCCGTCATATGACCGTTGGAGGTGCGAAAGGGACGATGAGGCGAGGTCAAATCAGCAGTTCCGTCCAGTTGGAATGATAACTTTTGGTGGGTGAAATTTAATGGTATCCTGGGTCCTACTCATTAGAGTGTGGGAAAACTCAATTGCTAGTCCTGAAATCACCTTAACCGACCTAGACTGAGCGAGTTATATTTCAAGCGCTGTCGTAAGCCAAAGTCTAATTGACAAGTTACCCTTTTCCATAATCTATATATTTGCTATTCATCTTAATCTCTATTTTTTCTTTCATTTACACCTATAGTAAACCACATTAGGAAATGTCCAGGCCCTTGCCAATCGGTCCGAATGGGGAGATCTACAACCCAACCCTTAAATCTAAACCAAATTTCAACCCGGAAGAAGACGCTAAGAAACTTCGCGACGCCATGAAAGGACTAGGTAGTTTACCACAAAAATTCATTTTTACTTTTATCTTAATGCTCATAGACCCTACACCTCCAATGATGTCACATGCGATGGCACTACAAATGCACAATTTATATTTACGCATTCTAGCTGGGCTTCTATAAATACCCTGGCAGAACATTGTTACAGTGATCTTCGATTAATGCGCAAGAGTCTGATCTTACCAGAATATGGCGACAGATTCCCATTGCTCTGCAGTCGTTTGATTTTTCTATGAATTTCAGGTTAATGCATTAGACGAAGCATACTCATTCGATTTTGGTGGAAATGAACTGAGCTTTCCTTCGTCAAATGACAGATATCGTCAGGGCTGGATCCCACTGATACATTAGGCTCAAGTTAGCACTAAGTCAAGAAGACTAATCGACGATACCTTAAGGGTTATTTATACTCACAACTAAATTAGGACATAAAATATATATAAGATGTGTTTTTTAAATGATTGTTGACTTTTCCCACAATCATATTAACCATAGAATTTCACTTTGTTTTCCTTTTTGGAGGCAAGACTAAGTGAATTGCTTTGACATTCAATGTCTGGATCCTCAAATGCATCATAAAATCGTGGAAGTAAGTTGTACATATAGGGCATTTCAAAGCTCTTCAGTAGTTTGGTAGGATATCCCTATTTGTCATTATTCCCACAAGTTTTACCAGATTAGTATTAAATATACTATCCTTTCCTATACTTTTCTATACTATACTATGCCATAATATACTATAATATAATTAGCGTCACTATTAATAGTTTAAAAGATTAATGTTTAAGAGTCTACAGAATGGAGAACGGTACGACAGGTTTGATTTATCGCCGCTTATCCTCACTCCCAGGACGGCGATAAGTCAATCTTTGGCTTGCGTAGTCTGGCGACTACATTCTCCATTTGAGACGAGGAGATAAAGATTCTTCGGCTCATCAACTACTCAGAATTCCGTGTCCTGTCTCCTCGACGGAATGTTTTCGCATTCCATACTTTCCTACCTCAACATCTGAACTTACTCACTGTGGGTAGTTGTAGGTGATGTAAGGACTACTAGTTCAGTTTTACCTGCAATCAGATAAGCAGGACT